TGATTTCTCCCCATCTTTCCTGATATTTGACTAGTGTTGTTCTGTGCTAAGTGCACTCACTTACATATTGGGTCATAAAACAAGTCACGATGCATTTTTGTATAGGAAAATACATCATGACTTTCCTAACAACTCAACAGTTTGAAAAATATCCTTCTGTGAAAACCAGAGAGGGGGATTTTGTCATTAAAACTATACCTACACATGCACACTCAGGTTTTTTCATGTACATACACAAGAACAAGGATGAGGAAAACTGTAAAGCTCAAAGGCTCTTCTTCCTTAAAAAAAAGAAAAAAGCTATAACTTGGAATACTCATGGAGTGTCCAACTGATTGATGTTGGAGAAGATAAAGAAAAATGTAGTATACACATGTGTTCTTTTTGCATTAAGTGTCACATAGGAAATTACAGCCTAAATACTTGACTGTAGTTAACAAAATTTGTAAAAAAAAAAAAAAAAGGAGCCAGTAGGGAGTCTTAGGATACTCAGGTGCTCGGGACCAGCAGTTAGCGTAATGGCTATGTCCCATATGCTTTTTACAATCCAGGAAAGTTATTTCATCCCCGTTTGCCAAATTCCAGCTAACCTTTAGGTCTATCTTAGATGTCCCTTCCTTCCTTGCATGTTATTCCTGTTGTATATTTCCAGAATAGTCTTCACGATTTCTTATTAGAGCTCTTATTAAGCATTGTGATGCTTATAAATAAGTTGTCCTGGGCTAGCCTTGTGGCCTTGCTGTTACGAGAGCTGGGTCCCACATGGCTGATCACACGGTTGGAGGCCTAACCCTGACAGCTTGAGAAACACACTGGGCGCATGTGCATGTGTGCCCCAAATCCCAACAGGATGGCAAGATGGAGAAGGGATTATGGCATGACCATACCCCCTCAAGGAGTGCTTTCTCTTTCTCTCTCTCCCTTTTTTTTCCTCTGTGTCTCTCCAACTCTCTCTGGTGAGCACACACATGCTCCGGAAAATTAAAAAATCAGCAAAATAAAATAAAACAATGAATTGTCATCTTTTATCCAAGAGATAAGCTCAATCAAGCCAGAGACTCTGTTTGATTCTTCGTATCCCCAGTACCTTCTGACAGGGAGTGGTACAGTGGGCCTTTAATAAACCACAAGTGCTCAGAGGGGAAAACTGGAGGAGGAGGAGGAGAAGAAATAGATTCAGAGGTCGAATGAGGTAAAAGTTCAAATATTAGGATGTGGGAACATTGTTAGCTCTTGACTCAAACTCAGGGTTAGAGACCTTTATCTTCCTTCCTCCCCATCAGCTCCAAATGCCAGATTCTATGTTAAAGCTTAGAATGAACACTTAGAGTAAATTCTCTGAGAGTTATAGAAACTACCCACTTCTCTCGAAGTAGTCAAGTAAGAAAATAAAAGATTAACACATACATTATAAAAATGGTTCAGTAAGATGAAAAGGCAATTAAAAAGAACCTAGTAATTTTTAATTCCTTGATAAAAATCCATAACTGTGGGTCAGCCGCAGTGATACAATGTCAACACAATGCTCTGTGTTGCTGAGGCCATATGGGAGGTCCCAAGTTTGTGTCCTGAGGTCTCCCTGCACTTGCCAGGTATGCACAGGTACCTATGCCCGTGATCCTGGGGCTGAGTCTGAAGATAAAATTTATAAATAAATATCATTTCAATTGCATCAAAACATCAAATATCAAGAAATGCATTGATCTATACAACATAAATTTTCTTACTGAAAACTACAATATATTACTGAAGGAATTAAAGATGATTTAAGCAAGATTCGGATTATATTCATGGCTTGTAAATAGATTGGAAGATTCAATATTGTTATCATGTCATCTCTCTCCTTATTAAAATACAGAATTATTACAGTCCCAATCCAAATCCCAGTGGCTTGCGTGTGTATGTGTAAGCGTGTGTGAATCAACAAACAAATTCAAAAATTTATATGGAAAGGCAAAAGATTAAGTATGGCCAAGATGATCTTAAAGAAGAAAAACTGGAAGATTTACACTATCATATATAGACACACATAAAAGCCATAGAAATTAGTTTAGATTGGTGTTATTCTTTTAAACACAGACTCGTAAACCAATCAGAATGGACAGAAATCAAGCCACACACATATGAGTGTTGGATACACCAAAATACCACTGTCACTCACCAAAGATATGAGGTTATCAGTAGACTAGACAAATAAATTGTGGCATTCGGAGAAGGGGTCTTCAAACAGTTCATAGAAATGTGTATATAAATAACATGCATGAATCTCAAGATTGTTTTGCACCCAAATAAATTCATACTTTCACCCCATTTTCCAGGAACTTTTTACATTTTTGCCAGCGAGCATGTGTGTTTGTCGGAGAGAGAAAAAGAAAGCAAGAAAGCATCCCCTCACGATTGGATATGTTCACAGTATAATCCCTAATCCTCCAATTCCACCTACTTTCAGGATTTGGGGCACACATGCATTGTGCATGTTTTCAAACCATAGTATTCAGGACTCAATTTGTGGTGGTCATGTGAGATCCAGCTTCTTAACCACCAGGCCCGTAGGCTGGCTCTCCAGCAACTGTTTTTGTTGTTGTTGTTGTTGTTTGTTTGTTTTGTTTGTGGTTTTTTTAGAGGATTTTTTTTTCTTTTTGGCCTTAGGGTGTATGTGTTCACTGGCAGGAGAGAGTGACAGACAGTGAGAAGGAAAATGAAAAATCACCGCCCCCCCAGGGGAATAGCCATGCCGTAATCTCTTCTCCTCTATTTTCCTCCCAGGATCTTGGGCACGCACACACACATGTCCGGCATGAGTTTTAAGCCACCAGGTCCAACACTTGAACCATGGTCAGCCATGTGGGAGTCCAGCAACATAACCACTATGCCATTGGCTGGTGGCATCTCCAGCAACTTTTAAAGTATCCTTGTATATTCAGATAATAAAATACTGTACAGCAATACAAACATGTAAAATTCTGCTACTCACAAGATGAATGAATCTCACAGACATAATATTGAATACAGACATTTACATGAAGGTCAAAAATAGGCAATTCTTACAATACAGAGGTCAAATAGTGGTTTACTCTGGCAGTGTGTATTGACTGAAAGAGACATGAACAAGTCTTCTGGGGTACTTATTACAGCATTGGAAACATCACGATGCATTTTTGCATAGAAAACATCATGACTTTTCCAACTACACAATATAAGGTGTATTTTATCTAGGTGATGTTTTCATGGGTAGACTACATATGAAAAAAATCCATCAAGCTTAATAATTAATAGTTATGTACTGGGCCAGCAGGTGGCAGGGTGGGAAAGGTCTTGTACTCCCACATGACTAACCAGTTTGAGTTAGGGACCTGGTAGCTTGCTCTCTCACTTTTCCTATCTCTATCTCTCTCTGGTGAGTACATGCACCCTATAGCAAATTTAAAATAATAATAGTAAATCAAATTAAATAGAAATAATTATTAAAAAAGTTATGTACTTTATACATGTTATATCTTATTTTTTAAGAAATACTTAAAGAGAAAGAGAAGCTTGCAAAGGAAAATTGAAAAGTAACCAACAGGAAGCAGAAGAAACAGAACTAGAGAAATCTGAGAAGAGTTCCAAGAGGAAAGAGGGTGGGAGGGTAGGGAGGGAGTGAAAAGCCTATTGACTTTAGCACTAAGAAAGCCATTGAGACCTTTCTGTGCAGTGAAAAAGCTGAGTCCAGGTTTCAGTGATTCAGGTAGTTACTGGAGGGGAAGAAGGTAGGACGAAGATATAATACAGTAAGTCTTGTTATCCAAGCACGGCAAGAAAGAGGATGGTAGCTAAAGAATAATGGAGGATAAGAGAACAGCATTTCATTTTAAGTAAAAATGAGACTGGGTTATTCCTTAATAACTAGAAAATCTATTTCTAGTTCATATAAACGTGAGTCTCAAATATTGAATTCAGCAAAGAAATCTCTCTTTTTTATCTTGATCAAAAGAGAATATATGGGGCCAGCTAGTGGCATAGTGGTTAAGACTCTGGATTCCCGCATGGCCAACTATGACTCGAGTCCTGGACCTGGCAGCTTACTTTCTCACTTTCTCTCTGTGTCTCTCTCTGGTGAGCACCTATAGCAAATTAAAAAACAATAGTAAATAAAGCGAAATAAATAGTTCTTTTTTTAAAAAAGAGAAAAAAATGTATATTTTCGATCAAGCTTGGAAAACTGCATACTAAAATTTGAATGACTCAACTCTTAACTACAAATTAGCCATCTATAGAAAAATTTGTTTAAACATACCTAAGTAAGGGAAAGTTTACATAATTAATAAACCTGAAGGTGCATATCAAAACATAGCCCTGAACTCAGAAGTTCTTTCATCTTCTCTCCATCAAATTGTATGAAAAGTGTACTTACACAGGCTGATAATTGCTAAGTGACAACTATATCTACTTATTGTTCCATAAAAGTTCAGCACTATTGCATATATTTTGATACTTTTTCCAACCAAGTCCCTCTGTACTAAAACTCACAATGATAAAAAAGGTTTGTTATATTATGGACTATAGCCTACTGGCAGTTAAGTTCATATGAGTTTAATAACCAATCCAGGAGGGCCCACAGACAGTTGGAGCGATTACATCACTGGACTCCCACATGGCCAACCAGAGTTCAAGTCCCAGACCAATGACTTGAAAATCATGCCAGGCACGTGTGTGTACATGCCCAAAATCATACCAGGCATGTGTGTATAAGTGCCCAAGATCATGGGAGGAGAATAGAGGAGCAGGGATTGCAGCATACCCATCCCCCTGGGGGAAGTCCTCCCTTTTGCTCTCACTGTCTCTGTCTCTCTCTCTCTTCTGTGAGTGCACACACCCGAAAGGCAAACACCTCTAAAAAACAAAGACAAAAATAACCAATCCCAGGAGTTTTACTTTACTAGAAACGCCAGCGATACTCACACACAGAACTATACCTGCCCTCTCTCCCAGAAAGAATTCATAAACAGTGAATGACTTACTATAATATGCTGATACGGATCTATAAATGACATTGTGGTTTCAATGACAGGAAATCTTTTCACACTTCAAAGAACTTCTCTGGCACTCCGACTTCTTTAAAACCTGCAAAATAAACAATCAGTATTGTTAGGCTTCCTCACTGAGGCAGTTCCAAGATTTAAATGGTGATGAGCATGTGCAGAGGACAGTGTCTGCACCCCAGGGGACTGCTGGATGGAAGTCCCTCCTTGGGAGTATGAATGGTTATCCCCACGGAGCTAGAAAGGCGGAGCACTGTGATAGTACTGTTTAACTTACACGTTTATTTGCTCACATTTATTCCGGGAGTATTTATTAGGAAACCACAAGAACTTTTTTTTTTGCATTTGCCAAGTTTTTTATGAGAAATCCATTAAATTACGGAAAATTAAAATGATTTTTGTTCTGCTTATGATTAAAAAGTCACATGTCATTGTTTTCTCAGTTGGTTCAACATTGCACGAATTCCCAATAAGAAAAGATTTTCTGCCTTAGCTATTTTTTAGCAATTTTAAAAATGCATTCATATTGAATTTGAACTTTAGTAATGTAATGACATTTCCAAAGAAATGTTTGTTCATTCTGAAGTACCAGTTTACTTTGGAAGTGGTTAAATGAAATAGTTTAAAGGAAAAATACTCTCCATACTTTTCTTTTATAATTATTCCATGCTATTTTAAAAAACAAATGGAAAAAACTATTCAATAAACTTTTTTTTTTTAAGATTTTTGCCGTAAGCCATGTACATTCACCTGAGAGAAAGGAGAAACAGAGAGAAGGAAAGTGAGCAATCACCCCCTCCCGAGCAGAAGGGCTACTCCACAATCCCTCATCCAGCATGATTTTCAAGTGATTGGGTCCAGGACTCAAACCATGATTGGCTATGTGGGATCCAGTGCCTTAACCACCATGTCACCTGCTGGTCCTCAATGAATATCTTTGCTATTCCATTTATAGATTTTTTTTCCCTTTTAGTGTTTATAGAATATGTTAGCATTTCAGGATCACATAAGTGACCTCTAATTTGAACCTCTTCCAATTATCTGTGTTATTTATGCTTAGAATTTACATTCTGAAATGTTTTTATTTCAACATAAATCAAATTATTTTTATAAACTACTTATCATTTCAAACATCACCTTTCAAAATCATAAACATGACTGCTGCTCACTGTCACAAACATGAACTGCTAAAGTGAATAAAGGGTATTCTCAATATTTATTTGATGTGTATCCTTCCAACCTATTTCAATGCATATTCACTTATTTAGAGTAAAAGGAAAAGAGAATTTGAGGGTTTCGTATAAAAAATAGATTCTTCTTTTATGCCTTTAGATTTTAAAACTTCCTTTATCAATTTTAATGTGAAAAGTATAAAGTGATTATTATAAGAAAAGTGGAAAACGAAATTCCCCCTGTTCTTTAATTTGACCCATCAAGGATCATTCTTTTTACATTAAAAAAAAAAAAAAGAAAAGAAAAGAAATGGGAACCAGCAGTTAGCGTAATGGCTAGGTCGCTGGACTCCCACGTAGTTGACTGCGGTTCGCGTCCCGGACCCGGTGGCTTAAAACTCACGCTGGGCGCATGTGCCTGCGTGCCCAAGATCCCGAGAGGAGAAGGGACTGCGGCGTGGCCATCCCCCCTGGGGGGTGATTTCTCGCTTTCTATCTCTATGTCTCTCTCTGTCTGTCTGGCGAGCGCATGCGCCCTATAACGAAAAACCTCTCAAAAAAAAAAAAAAAAAAAAAAGAAGAAGAAAGAAAGAAAAAAAAGAAGTAAAACATTCTCTAACTTTCTTTTTTTGTAATTTTGCCAGAGGACAGGTGTGCTCACCCACGAGGATGGTCATACCACAGACCCTTCTCCTCCATTTCCCCGTTCAGGGTCTTGGGCATGCATGCACACACACGGGCATGTTTTTCAAGCCACCAGGTTCAAGATTTCCACCACACAGTCAGCCATGTGGCATCCAGCTGCCTTAACCATCATGCCACGGGTTGGCCCACATTTACTTACTTTAATCAGTCATTTCTTAAGCTTCTAAAGCATGATTACTTTTACCTTCTAAAGCATGAGGTATTTTTTATCAGCTCATTTGAAACCAAATAGAAAATTTTATTGATAACATTAGCCAATCAGTAATTTCCTTAGCAATCATGTTTCCATTATTTTGGTTGAATCTGGATGGTATTGTCAGTAACTTTCGAGTTATTATTTCAACATAAGCTTCCCACTGGAACCTTCTCTGGCCACACTACTTAAAATTGCCACAATGAGCCCCTGACATTTGATACAAAGTGGACAAATATGAAAGCTTTAATACTGAGGTAAACCAGGCTCTAAAAGAAAGGCACTGTGTGTCCCAGCTTAGCGTATATGGAATGGCTGAAAGATTAGAAGGTAGAACAGCAGAAAGGGCAACTGCAGATAGAGACAGTATCGGGGTGGGTGGAAGCGGATCGGGGAAAAAACGTACAGGGACCAGCAGATGGTGTAATAGTTACGTTCCGTTATCACTCCCATGTAGTTGACTGTGGTTCAAATCCTGGACCGGGTGGCTTAAAACTCAAGCCAGGCGCATGAGCATGTGTGCCCAAAATCCCGAAACGAGAAGGGAGGAAAAAGGATTGTGGTATGGCCATTCCCCCAGGAGGGGTGATTTCTCGCTTTCTGTCTCTCTGTCTTTCCGGCAAGCACACATGCCCTATAGCAAAAATAAACTCTCTCTTAAAACAAACAGTACATTTAATAGACACAAAAATGGAAAGTTACCTGCTGATGATAAAGTATACAGTAATGTCTTTGACTTGACTGCTACGCACTGTATTCACGCTGGGGAAAACCATGCTGCACACTGTAAAGATGTACAGTGATTAAATGTAATTTAAAAATTGGCCAAAAAACATCAATTTCTGGTTTTATCACCATGTAAACGATACTAGATATAGGTTTCATTGTGGGGTTTTTGTTTTATTTTGTTTCTGTTTTTGTTTCTTGTCTTTTTCCCCATTAAAATAAGCTCCATGAAGGCAGATTGTGTGTGTGTGTGTGTGTGTGTGTGTGTGTGTGTTATTCTTTGTAACATTCCTAGCTCAGGCACATATGGGACTTCAATTCATATTTGTTAAATGAGTGAATGACAAAAACTGAGGGAATGAGTGAGTGAGTGAATGAAAGAATAAGAGAATTTACTCACACAAGTCAGAGAGTCATTTTCAAGCCCAGTCAAATGTGAGCATTTTAATCAAGTCAAAGAAAGCCCATCCTCCATTCAGCCATAAACGGTGTGGTCCTCATCTCTCTACAGCCTCTCACCATTCAATACTGGCATGGGTTTCTCTTTTTCTGTTATATTATTTCCCCCTCACCATCCTCATACAAACATTACATAAAGATGATTTCTCACTCCCCACACACTGTACTGTTCCTTTTATTAGGTTCTACGTACTCTTTTTTTTTTTTTTTTTGAGAGGTTTTTGCTATAGGGCGCATGCGCGGGCCAGACAGCCAGACAGAGACAGAGAGACAGAAAGCAAGAAATCACCCCCCAGGAGGGGATGGCCACGCCGTAATCCCTTCTCCTCCATTCTCCTCTCAGGACCTTAGGCACGCACGCACACATGCCTGGTGTGAGTTTAAGCCACCGGATCCAGGACTCAAACCGCGGTTGACTACATGGGAGTCCAGAGACATAACCATTATGCTAACTGCTGGTCCCAGTTCTACGTACTCTTCACACTCTGTCTGTACACAAGAAATGACAGTCTCATAAGATAACCAGCAAAACTGCACTCAGGTAACCTGTGACTGGTTTTCAAATTCATAATCCAAGAAATGTGTACTGACATCAAGTAACGAGATCCTACTTAGTATTTCCCACTCTCAGGGTTTTGGGAGCTATTTCTATTAAATCTTGTTTTAGAGGACCAGTAAGTACTTACTCGATCAGTATGGCCGATATTTTTGTGCTGATTAAATTCAAAGTGTGCCTACTTTAGTCTCTAAATCACAATACAGCTAATTCTCAAGAGCCAGTGGTGGAATACATTCCTTTTTTTTAGCGAGAGAGAGTTTTTTGTTTTTCGTTTTTGTTTTTGTTCTTGGTTTTTTTGTTTTTTGTTTTTTTGAGAGGTTTTGCTATAGGGCACGTGCGCTCGCCAGAAAGACAGAGAGAGACAGAGAGATAAAAAGTGAGAAATCACTCCCCAGGGGGGGATGGCCATGCCGCAATCCCTTCTCCTCCATTCTCCTCTTTGGATCTTGGGCATGCACGCACACGTGCCTAGCGTGAGTTTAAGCCACCAGGTCCAGGACTCGAACCGTGGTCAACCACGTGGGAGTCCAGTGACATAGCCATTATGCCAACTGCTGGTCCCAAGAGAGAGATTTTTGCTAAAGGGTGTGTGTACTCACTAGAGAGACAGAGAGATAGACATACAGTGAGAAATCACCCCACCCCACCCCCCCCGAAGAGATGGTCATGACACAATCCTTTCTTCTCCATTCTCCTTTTGGGATTCTGAGCATGCATGCACAAACACCTGGTGTGAGTTTCAAGCCACGTGGTCCAAGACTTCAATCAAGGTTGGCCATGTGAGAGTCCAGTGCCTTAACCACTATGCCAACTGCTGGCCCAGTGGAATATATTCTTAAAAATGATACAGTAGAGGGACCAGCAGGTGGTGTGGTGGTTAAGGCACTGGACACTCCCACATAGCTGACCACAGTTCAAGTCCCGGACCTGGTGGCTTGCTTTCTCACTTTCCCTCTCTTTCTCTCTATGTCTCTCTATGGTCAAATTAAAAATAAATGAGTGAATAAATAAAATTAAATAATTCTTTTAAAAACTAATAATACAGTAAATAAATTCTCTGGCTAGAGGTCAGCAGGTGGCATGGGGGTTAAGGGGCTGGACGCCCACATGGCAAGCCTCTGGTCATGGAGGCTTGCTTTCTCACTTTCCTTCTGTATTTTTTTCTCTCTCCCTTTCTCTCTCCCTCTCTGGTGATTGCATGTGCCCTGTAGCAAATTTAAAAATAATAATGATAATAAATAAAATTTAAAAGAAAAGAAAAAGCTCCT